ACCCCAGATATTTTACAGAGGCTGTTCACATATTTTTTAGACGATGTATATTGTATTCACAAAACTAAATTACATAAAATTCTTGTGTTTTAAATGTTCTATTTGACATTCTTTATTCTGAGCTATCTTTCGATACCGCAATTTCCAGGATAATAATGCCTTTTGAAGAGATATTCTATCCCATTCCTCCCGAACAGCTTTCCAGAGTCCTGTTAGGGTTTAGGGACAACGTTTGGATAATTCAGTTTTTAAAAGTCCGAAAGTACAAAAATTCATAGGTGACACATCGGAAGATTTAGTAGGGATATCAGTGAAGGGTATGGCCTTGATACCAGTTTTTTGTTGCATTTCTTTTAGCAAATTTACAGTGGATTTTGATGTGTGACTGCTGGTGTTGTACTAATGGAGTCTCACAGATGGATGGCACTGTGGGTAATGCGATGGTATTTCATTCAGAAAAATTGGCGATAAAATATGTTTCTGATAGTATTTGAAGTTAACCTTGACATTTTTTTGCACTCTCTTTATTTTTAACTTACCGTTATAAGAAAAACCAGCAACCATCATGAATCCCTTAGAAAAACTTTCTTTCGATTCTTTGAACCATGCACTTAATTTTTTTCCCCATTTTATGATAATAAATGGCTCTTTTTATGTTACAATCATTTAAATACACCCATGCTTCAACTATAGTGACAATTGTTTCCCATTTTTCTTTGGATAAGTGTTTCTCATATAGAATTCTGCAGCGTGTCCTGCGTCGAGCGATATGCTTTGGAAGAAGACGATGCACATTGTGTTTTTTCGCTTTCTTAAGATTTAAATCAACGTTTATCATTTTGTTTACAGTGGATACCGAGCATTTGAATGATTTTGCAACTGTCCTTTGACAAGGGGGATTTTCTTTTAATATTAAACAACGTACCTTTGCAATAGTCGAAGATGTCCGTTTTTTCCTTGGATACTGTTGTTTGTCCTTGGATACTGTTAATTGTTTAAAATTTTTGTCCCACTTGAGGCTCCAATTTGACGTTTTTTTCCTTTCTTGTTGATGATATTACCTATCGACGCTTTAGATATCACAAAACCATGACTCTCACATCGTTTTTGAATAACGGAGTATGCATATTTTTCTTCGGAAAGAGCGTAAATGTGGCCTTCGAACCACTGCTTTGTTAAATTCGCTATTTTGAATAAAAACAAAGCTTTCAAGCCACAGACGATAATTTTGACTTTAAAAAAATAGTACAATTGCAATTACTTCTTTTCACAAAACGAATTTTATTACCACTTACCAAAATCGTCTAAAAAGTGGGCGAACAGCCTCTATATATACGTACAATTAGAGCGATTTTCTAAATTTTTAATAAAAGGACCGAAATTGCTGTATGACACTTACAAAGCAGTTTTTTAATTAATCCGCCGGCTTTCACTTTATTATGGCTCTAATCTTTTACTCGCAATATGACTCCCAAGTTAAATTACTAAAATGTACGAACGTAAAATGTTCATATTAAAATATTCTACACAATTTCCTAAAATAGATGATTCAATAATGACATTTAATGGTTAACTACATACATTTAATAGTCTATTAACTACTATTTAATAATTTAACTATAGCATTAATTTTTTTATCATTTTCAGTTTTTTAATGCTGTCTCCTTTTTCCTTTTTTAGGGAAAAAATAAAAATTATAATATTTAATTAATTAAAATTATGAAATATAGTATTATGATACCTTTTTGCGATCACAAATCATAACGTAAATATACATTTATAACTTTTAAGGTATGAAAAACACATGTCTATGTTATTGTCTATACTATACACAACATGTCTATATTATTTACAACACCTGTCTATATTATTGTCATGCGATACGGGGTTTTATTTTTTACCAAGATATGTTTTACGAAGATATATTAAAACTGCGATGTTTACGAACCTCTTTATTTTCAGAGACGACGTCTGATATGACGATGTTTTAGAACAGCTACTCCTTGCTTTCTTTTTTCCCACAATATATAAGGTATTTTCTCCCTTCTCTTCCCATATGCCCTCGTGGTCTAACTGGAAGCACACTCGACGCGTATTCAGGAGGTACGATCTAATCCCGGCGAGGCCATTGCTCGTTTTTCACGTTTACTGTATCGATAATCCTAACGAATCTACAGTGGCGCCCGAACCAAAAAGGTGGCGAACGATAATTCGTCACCACCAGGATTCGGCAATTGGATTAACTCATCCCCAGTTGCCGTTTAAAAGGAGGAGTATATAAGGCATTTTCTTCCTCATGCCTTCATGGTGTAACTGAAAGCACACTCGACGCGTATACGGAAGGTCGGAAGCGCGAATCCCGGTGAGGCTGTTGTTCATTTTTCACTTCTCTAGCATCGATAATCCTAATGACTCTGCAAATGTTTTGTACGCGATGTTTTCGTTTTGCGTTGTTTTCTTCGCAACGTTTTCGCCGTGCGTTGTTTTCTTTGCAACGTTTTCGTCTGCGATGTTTTCGCCTGTAACCTTTTTATCGATCAACTACTTAGACTTTCTTCAATCGTTTTAATTAACTGAAACTCTTTAAAAATTTAATGTTTCTAAAAACTAATGATTTATGAAAACATATTAGACTTCGAAATTTATACACAATTTTAAATATTCGATAGAATAATAATTCATTCAGTGGGCTATCTAATGTAACTCATTATATTGTTTGGATATAAAAAAAAAAATTCTACTCATTATTACCCAAAATTGCTTTAGAATTTCGACAGAATAGCTGGTGTTGAGTGACAGAAAATAGTTTTCGAGTAGGTTCGATGCATTCAGATTTTAAATGTAGAAAAAAAGAACATCGTATAAAATGCGATGCACTTAGTAATTTCATAGATTTAATAATTATAATGACATGATAAGACCACAATAATTGGGATTGGTTTGAAAAATGGCGAAACTACTTATATTTTAAACAAAAAGAAATTTCTTCCCCGAAAAATTTTTAAATTAAGAGATACTGCCTGAAACATTCATTCTGAACGCAGCAATTTTTAAAAATGCAAGTGAAATACAATAGCCAGACCTTTAATGTAAGGGTACAGATGAAATTGGTATTAGTTTCCACTGAAAATACTCAGTGCATTTCGAAAGGAAATCCTACACGCCTCTCTGCATCGGGAGTAATTATACTGGGGATTACTGACAGCGAGTGCCGAGAGCAAAGAAGTTTTTTCCAATGAAAGAAGGCAGTGTTACATTGCTTTTTGGACGAGCGTGAGTTTTTCATTTCAACTCAATCAGAAACTAAAAGAGATTACCCTATTTAAAATAACAGATATCACTAATGAAATTTTGAGACGAATTTTATACTCTCTTTTGCAAGTAAGTTCTGTTTTATAAAAATGAAATTAAAATAATAGTTTTTGCACGGGATTCAGATGAACAGCAAATTACTATTTTAAGTTAAGGGGACTTATACACCTTAAAACCCATAAGATGTTCGAAGAGGTGACTGTAGCAAGAATTGGGATACCTTATTTATTTTAAAAGTAATTACTACTAAATTTTCACAGCTGACTACATAATATAGCTGCTTTCTGAAATAGTAATTAGAAAGTTTGTGTTGCCACAAATATTTTTATAATTTAATCCGCTTTGTGACAACATTTTTCGTCCTGTTTCCAACTTGCGCGCACAGTTTAAAACATTCTGTTTCATAATTTAATTCCATATTTAATATATAGCTTTTATAACATTTGGAAACTACTGTGAAACCTAAAATTCTAAAAATTTCCATGTTAATTTTTATTTTATTTGGAGTTGAGTTTATAAAATGTATTTTATTAAAAAAATTTGTAAAGTTTTCGTCCATAAAATTTTTCAATATTAAAATATTCATCAGATTGTTGGTTCAGTTAGAAAATAGTGCCCATATAAAGAATTCCATAAAATTTCAAATATGTACCATTAGTCATTTTTAAAATATCATGCGCGCAAGGTGGAAACATGGCAAAATATTTTTTCACAAAGAGGATTAAATTACAAAACTATTTGTGGCAACATAAACTTTCTGGTTACTAGTTTCCAAAGCAGCTATGTTATGTAGTCAGCTGTAAAAAGTTGGAAGTAATTGCTTTTAAAATAAATAAAATATCTCAATTCTTGCAACAGTCACATATTCGAAGATCATGAGGGGTTTAAGGTGTATGAGTCCCCTTAAGATGATATAAAGTGATACGTTCCTTACTAACTGAAGAAATTAGTAACCGAAATGAAATAAATAATTAAATTAAGTAACTAATCATAAAAATCTTGCCATCAATATAATCTGAAATCACAACTGAAAATATACATTAATTCCAACTGGTACGCATTGACATTACATATTGAAAAAAACTTTTATTTTACAAACCGCTTTTTGGAAGAAAAAAAAAGGGGGGGGGGAAAAAGAAAAATCCTAAGTATTTTTAATAAATTGACTTGACTGGAGGTATAGGTTTAGAGAGAAAATTCAGGCGATAACTCATTTTTACAATAATGTCATTGATAAACAGTTAAAAGTCGTTTCATTTATACAAAAAGTCATTTTATAAAGACAAACAAACAAAACAAAACAAAACCAAAAAAAAAAAAAAAAAAAAAAAAATGCCAACTTTATAGAATATAAGAAATCGGTCAAATGGTAAGGCTAACAGTACTTTGGTGACTACAAAATATTGCAACGATTTCCAAACATAGCAAACCAATAGAAATGCAAAGAAAATGCATTTGATAAGAAGAAAGATCATTCGGAAAACACCCAGCTTTTCAAATATTTCAGATTGTGCCTATAAGCTTTAAAACACTGAAAACTGATAAGCATCAATACAATGTAATAATTAAATTTTATGTTATCTTTGAATTTCCTGATAAATCAAGAAATATGCAAAAGAATTATATAAATAATGGAAACAGTAATAACATTGGTACCAGTAACAACAACAACAATAATAATTAATTACCTATTTAATAACAGAATCGGAAAGGGAGATTGTAGAACTATTTTGGCGGGAAATGTTCGCAGCGCATCTACATGCCTATGAAGCTCGTGCTCTGGCAATAAGGAACAAGCGGTGCAGAGGCAACAGACATTATTTGATAAAAAATTGATTCCGTTACCTAGATTTTTTACAAAATGTGATGCGAAACAGAAGTTTCTTCGAGTAAATGGCCAAAGTCGTCAAACACATTCCTCAGACCACTCCAAAAATTTCTGCACTGCCCATGGAATAAAAAAATTTACAAATAAGAAACAAATGGCGACGAATCATGTAATAAAGACAACAGACATTTCAGGGGTAGGAGACATGAAGAAAACAACGTTGCATCTAAGGAATCGGCTTGATTATGGGAAAGAGGAGATGGAAGGGGAAAAAAAAAAGGAAGCGCAAGATGAGAAGAGCATCCCAGTAACCCGCTTGGCGAAGAGAAGGAAAGAGTTGTCACCCACCTGATCAGAAGTCTGCCGGCGTAGACTGGCGAGGAGTGTCTGCCGATCGCCTGGCGCGCATCCGTTCTTCTGTGCGCGATCGTTCGGTTGTCTCGGCAGACACACGGAATCGACCACCCGATCCGAAAGACCGCCCTCAGGGTCAACGGCCTAGTCGGGGTTGCCCGGTTGTAAAACGCAGCGCCGATATTTGGCGTTTGACTTTCGGAATGCAGAAAATCGATTGCGTTATCGCATGATTCATTTCCACGGAAGCGCGGGAAAAAGAAACTCATAAGAAGACGGACACGCTGTCTGAAAAATACTTATTTTCGCTTTTCTCCAGACATTCGATAACGGTCAAAATGGATATTTTCGTTGAAATATGCTGCCTGAAGCTTTTCGCGATTACAATACTTCCTTTTTACTTTGTACAAGGAAGTAAAAATGTATCTCCTGGCCCGGTTATACAAGCACTCCAAACACACAGCACACACTTGAGTCCTAGCTTAACGCCTGGAAAGTCAAGATTGAACCACGAGCAGTTTTACAGTGACATTAGTTCTGTATAAAAATATTTCTTTTTTTTTACACCAGTTTAATGGAGGGCACAGCTGCTGCATAGTTAACATGAGGCAATAAATACATCCTGCCAAGGTAATTCTGTCTTATGCTGGTCTTGAATGAATTCCCATTAAACAATTTATAATAATTTGTTTGTTAGGAGAGAATTCGGAGTTATAATTTAAAACCTGATTTTTATGAGAATACTCTAAACGCCCAGCTGCAAAATTCTATAGCTTACGTGTGTTCTGAGGAGAAAAGTTTATTTTAGCAGACTAGCACTCAGCTCCAATGGGCAGTTACCACCAAGAATGATTCAACGAGACCCCCTTCACATTTGATTCTACCTGGCGATCTCCAGAATGTCCAGATTTAAATGGCGTTGAATCGGTTTGAGATGCTGTTGCAGATGACATCACACGAACGGTAATAATATCTAAGACTGTTTTGTTTTTATGTGATTACGGCAAAGCCTCGAGGGCTAACTACCTAAGGGGAGGGATGCCTTCGTGAATGACATTCTAAAGGAAACTGGCTCCTTTACACGTTATACACGGGGAAAACTACTTATTATCAAAAATGATTATTGCAGCTGATTACACAAAAGGTGCTACTTTGGTAGACGGTTGCACGGATTTTGGCGATTTTCCTTTGGCGAGTAATACAACTTATGGTAAACCAAACAATAAAATAACATAAAAAAGGAAAAATCTGTTATGCATTTAAGCACTACACAAAGCAAATATCCACTTAGCCTTATTTAGAAATCCATTCGTCTTTAGCCCATGGCACACAAAATTCCTTAACAGCATCCAAAAACTTATTAAATTTATCTGAACTCGAATCCATTTATCGGCGTCGCCACATAAATTCACAAAAATAAGAGTAAAAAATACCCTACGTAGTTCCGGACTCTCCGGAAAATGGCTACTAAGTAAACCTTCATTTACACACCAGTCAATGAATGCACTTTTCCTAACACCACGAAAGACCTTACAAAAACATCCCATGATTCAAAATTTCCCGGAATAATGCAAACGATTACGTCATAATAGGGTTTCCATAATATTCAACTACTCAGGTTACCATAAATGAAACAACAACTTGGTGATAAATGAAACAAATTCGGGATAATACAAGGGGTACCATAAAGTTAACTCTAACCGCAGTTTGTGATTAACGGACATCTTCAATGTTCAAATGTAGATTCACAGGCAACTGAAAAACCTTCTAAGAAAAGACACTAAAATGCAATCAAAACGTTCCCAAAAGTGTTTCGACTCTAAAGGTGGTGTGGTGTATTTAATTATGGCAAAGCCACACTAGGGCTATTTGCCTAAGGGGAGGGATGCTTTCGTGGAGAACTTTCTAAGGGAAACTGGCTCGTATACACGTTACACATGAGGAAAACCTCGAAAACGCCCATGCAGCCAGCCCGTTCGTGGGATTCGAACCTCGGACCGAACTACCAGCGTTCAGCGACTTTACCGCTCGGCCGCTGGTGGGCCTTCGACTCTAAAGGAGAGAACGTTGAAGGAAGGTATGTTCAACTCTCATTCGTAATAAAGGTTTTGGTAAAAAAAAAAAGTCAGTTTCGGTCATATTTGAACCACAGTGTAATAAAATATTTTGAAAGCTATCCTGATTAACATTTACTTAATCTCTAGATACATATATACACGCATACATCTTCATAGATTACTCAAAAAACATTCATTATTTATCTCGAAAACTGCAAACGAGGATTAAGGAACCGAAATCGTATCTTATAATATGTTAGAATATAAACACAGTGAGTCTAATTATCACTTTTAATAATTTATCTAATTCTTCGAAATTTTTTGCGCATCTTTCATTCTTCGGTTTGCTAAATAAAACCAATTTAACACAGATTTATAACAGAAGTAGAATTATAAGAAAATTAAGAACGAATAAAACTGAACTATTCGCTTTCCTCTTTGTCATCCTATTTCTGTCCAGAGTGAATTTTGCTCATTTGGAAACTTTTTTGTTTTAGTAAAATTTGTGTTTTAATCCAAATAAACAATTTATGACAGAATTAAAATACTGTAACGGTTTCAGATCATATGTGTTTTTGGTGCTGTTGAAATTTCATAATTAAATTTCGTAACGTACTTAACTAAAAGTATTAGTAAATAAAAGGACATAAAGTGCTTAATACACTTTAAGTCCTATGAAGCTCTTATTTTTACTTCCTTGTACGAAGTAAAAAGGAAGTATTGTAATCGCGAAAAGCTTCAGGCAGCATATTTCAAAGAAAATATCCACTTTGACCACTTTCGAATGCAATTTAACGATGTTTTTGCGTGATATTTGTACGTAAGGACAGAATAAAAGACTCTTCCTCCAAAAAAACTAAAAAACTGCTTAAAAATGAATTCTGAAGAGAATTTTTCGTGGCGTCTGTACGAACGTATGTACGTGCGTACGTACGTATCTCGCATAACTCAAAAACGAGTAGCCTCAGAACGTTAAAATTTTGTATATAAGACTACTATAACATGTAGATGTGCACCTCGTATATTGGTTTCAATCGGCCGCGCCAAACGTATATAAACATATTTATAAATACATCCACTCTGTTACCCGGCTCAGTGATCTCAGTTTCTTTACTCTTATATGTTTGTAAATTGTACATTTTTTTTCTTTAAAAATGATTGAATTATGTTGTTTTTATCTTCCGGTTAAGGGTTTTATGCCTTTAGTAAATCTGTATGCAATAGTTTTAGAATTATCAACAATTTTAAAATTCTTTAAGTGCCGCTAAGCCTAATTTGATGGCGGCCATTGATGTTTACATTTGAAACAGGAGACTAGTCGATTTGTTGCCAATCTAGAGAAACTTAGCTTAGCAACAACAAAGATAACGCATTCATTTATTATTGCCAATTAAATCATGCTTAATCCTTTCTTGAATTTTTTCGAGGAAATAAGCGTTTAAGATTTACTTCGTAATTTTTAATACAGATATTTTGAGTTTTTATGTAGTTTTGCCTTGTCGCGATGTGAGAACTGAATTAATTGAATGAGAAATACTCAATCGTCTGTGAAAAACTGTTTCTTTTTTGTTTTGTTTGCTTAATTTCTTTTATACATCGTTCTAGCTTTATTATAGTATTTGAATAGAACATGTGGCAACGATTAGATAATTCTTTAAATGATATACATTTTGTGCATTCAGGGTTACAATATGAACGAAATATAATACTGTTAAGTAAACCTAGCGCCAGAGTGTCGCTATGGTAAACAAAGTGAATTTTAAAGAACGCATTTATTCTATTGTGGTTTATGCGCTGTCGGCGAAGTAGGTTTAATTCAATCTAATAAGTTTAAATAAAATGCAAGAAAAAATGCGTATAATTTAATATTCCGTACAAGGAAGTCATGTGGTGTACACATCAGATTTTTTACTTAGAGTTACATTTTTTAAATATGCAGGAAATATGTCTTATTAACCATTATTACATCCCAAGGTTAAAATAATATCGTACAATTAAGTTCGCAAAATAATAGTTATCAATGTATTTTCATTAGTTTATTCTACAGCTAAGCTGTGAATATTTCAAAATGATAGAAAAGTCATTACCACGTTATATTTTTAAGTTATTTTTTAAGGTAAGAGAATGAAAGCGTTTTGGAGGAAATAAGCAAATATTTTGGGGCAAGGCATAGCATGCTAACTTATATCAGAATGGAAGAAAATGTTAACCTACTTTTAGAACAAATAGGATAAAAGACACATAAACGGCAACATGGAAGAGATGACAGTAGCTAAGGATCAATTTCCTATCAGATTTTTGAATCAATATGCCGTCGAAACAATTTCATTCAGACAAATATGAAACAAATGCCAATTTACTTTGAACTTTAATTGCATTTATTTCGAAGAATTTCCAATCTTGCTAATCGAGAAATTAAGACTGTAAAAAATTTCACCCTCAATGTTATTAACCCGCGGGAAGGCGCGTGGCGTGTATCATACCCCAACCCTACATAAAAGTGGAGTATTCCTAACTTGTGAAACTGAAATTCTGTGCTGCTTTCAGTTGCTGAGTTTCTAGTTGTGGTTGACTTTCAGAACCGCTTTTTCTTTGCCTGTGTGTTTCAAAAAAAGATTTATCGGCATTTTGTTGGAACTGGGGTATCACACACCCCACGCGCCTGTCCGCGTAAGTGTTTTTCTGACTGAATATTTAGTTCAGAAATTTATTTCTAGAGTGTAACAGTAACTATTTCTACTCGCAAGTGATTTTAAAGTCCTT